TTCGCTGAAAGAGAATCAGCACACATAAGTGTAAGAATCGCCAGAACTTATCTGCTTCACCCTGCGTGTCTGTTCATGTTGTGACTTTATATCTGGTACTGGAGAGCGGGTATCAATAACGAGATGCCCGCCCCTGATGCTGTGTTCGTGGTTATTAAGATTAGTTACAAAATATCTTATAATCGTTTCAGGGTTGATTAAAGTATAAGGGTAAGAATCGCCAGAACTTATCTGCTTTACTCTGCGTGTCTGTTCATGTTGTGACTTTATATCTGGTACTAGTAGTAATATAGTAGTAATCAAAGATTATGAGAGTGCGATTGACGCCGTCACTTTAATATATATACCTTAAATAAATGGTTTCACTATAGCTGACTCTCAACCTCTATTGCTAAAATCAACGTTTTTCATCGAAAACCGAGGTTTTACAGACAGATATATCTTAGTGTCAAAGTCCATGCAAGTTTAAGAGGTCCCTGTAATAACTATGATTTGTTGATTCGTTGAGTGACAGCGCCAGTTTCCGTAGACTCATATTAACAGGTAATGTTTAAGCGTAATGGTTAATTTGAAAAAATATATTTTATATACATTATTCTAAGCTGGAAGCATAAATATAGGCAAACATTTGCAATCGTACGAGTGTGCTCGTTTATCGTCCGCGTAAACAAACTCCGTGCGACTGATTCGAGTATTTCCCCTGATGAATATAGCAGACAGTATTTACATAATTTGCCGTTCCTTGGTTCAGGCATACTCTTATGGATCTTTTCCCGCCGATTCCAAACAATATTTGACGTATAAAGACTGAGCTACATGTATCTGTCGCGACAGGAACTAATCAACAAATCCAATCAAAATATGGCTGGTTTCCCACAGTTAACATTCCAAAGCCAAGGCGATTCAAAGTCGTGTTCGTTAACATACAAAATAAACAAGGACAATTCCCTCAGATTTCGATAAAGGCTACCATCGAAGCGTTCATATTCATCAATATCCAACGCTGAAAGCACAAAATAGCGAAGCTCATGGCGACTGAATGGAAAGAAGTCAAAGAAAGACCCAGCGCAAAGACGAGCTCGCATGGCCTGCTTACATGCTCACATGTTCGTCACATGTCTTATCATATGTAATCACGTCTTAGTATTAAACAGTACCAGTTTATTGACCGTGACATGCCCTGCAAAAATCAAGCAGGGTGGCCATTTTGGTGTCCTTACAGGAATGCGGAGTTTTTCTGCATATAACCGTGCACAGGGTAACCAACTCTGGTTCTTCAAACGCAACAAGTCGCCGTGACATGTTCCAGGGTGTTTGAGCCTAAAACGTATTCTTTAATGAAAAAGTTATTTCTTGGGACCGCGTGTTTTTGCTCATGAAGTTAGCGAGCTCTTTTTCTAGGCTATGTTGGGTCAGTTTCTCTTATTAACATTTGTCTTGAACAGAGGTGAATGCCGTTCTAAATTTGATAAAGGATTCAGATGGTTCAATTTTTAGTCATTCTCTTCCTAAATAATAATTGCACACTAAATAACGATCAGTTGTTGACAGTGTGTACTTTTTGTTCCTCAGCTGTGGCCGGATCCTGCAAGGAGCTACTTGACCTGAACCTGTAAGAACAGGTCCTCATTTTGAAATTTAATCAATGGAAAGCTGTGATCCATGCCTCAGTATGTATACTGGCGGGGTACAGTGAAAAACTCGACGATGTAGTTACATACAACAATTATTGTTATATAGCTGGCGTGTTTCCCGCTACAGCGCGCCCATTCATTGGCTAGTTTATGGTCACATGGCATCTAACAATGAAACTGTTTCCCGCCAAATGCATGAGCGGCCAACATTGCGAAAACTATAACGTCAAACGGGAAACAGTACACTGTTACCCGCGAAATGTTGACCACTGTTGCACGTTATTTGTCAATGTCTCGGGAAACATCGAGATTCTCGGGAAACAAAATTCACTGTTCCCCTCGGGACCAGTCATTAAGTGTTAATATCAAACTAATTCGCAATTTCCAACTGTTAGATGAAAGCTATTCGAGTTGTTCTCTCGTGTTTTTAGATCTTCGGGTAATAAAGCCTACCCACTAAAGCTGGGATCATCAATTGAACTTGATGTCTACTGTCACATGGCTAATGATCTTGGTGCATGTGGAGGTAGCGGATGGACGCTGGTTATGAAAATTGACGGTAATAAGGTAGAGATGGGATATTTTATTGTTTGTTTTGCAAATTTGGAAAGCCTAGCCTTACAAAATGTGGTTACCATGAAAGCATCAAGTTCCGACGAATTTAACATGTCATACCGAGTTGTTTCCAGGCAAATCAAGTTTTAGTGAGAGCTTGGCATAACAAATATTGAAAAACCTATTAACAGTTACAGTCAGCGCGGGCACTCCGCCTCTTCCACCACACCCATTCCCCCTAGGTCTGAAAAGGGTTCATTAATTCCTTTGCTAATGGGTGATTTGCATGACAGCATCATTTGACTACAGCTACCGGAATCCTTCACTTTTCCTGTTTCTTCTGCTAATTTGGACATTGTTATTTAAACTCCACTGGGGCTTCAAAATTTTAATAATAAAGAAAAAACGAAAGGAATTCGGGTAATTCTGGTAGTTGTAGTCAAATGACCGTAATGTGCAAATCTGCTATTCACGTCAAATTGGGTGTGTGCATCAAATTGAGCACATCATCGCACAAAGTATTAAGCATAGAATACGATTGCAAATTGAATATATAAAATAATTTTAACACTTAGTTTTGCAATTAGCTCCCAGATTTACAAGCATGGAGGAGAACAAATTTCAAATTTTGAAAATGGGTTTACTCCCATAAAAACTTTAAGCAGCTGTTTATATCGTATTGGATATGACAACTGTCTTTGGATTCTGACGTTGCTGAGGCAACGTATTGTCCATTTGCAACTTTACCCACATCTAAACGTTTAAGATTTTCAATGTTCTTAAACCTTTTTTTCAGTATATTTGCTAATATCTAAATCCTTACGCGCTGTAATGCTGTGGAGAACTATGAGCAAACTTGAATGTTCCTGCTTCCCATTTTTCTACATAGGAAACCTTCCACTATGATTCAAGCCTTTGGAGCAACAAAAAGACCCATAATACTGAAGGAGGGAAGACTGGTTTTGACATGCAAGAGGCCAAGCTACCAACCTACTGGAACATGTCGTTCTCCAAGATCTGTCTTGGCATGAAGATCCCTGGACAGGAAACCACCAATTTTATCTCGATTAACAAAAAGGCTGACTCGCTGTACTCACTCATCGCTGACGGGCAGTTCCGCGCCACATCACTGGGCCGCAACAGGTGGAAAGCGCTACTTGGTTCAAAAGATACCTTGCAGCTCCACTGTAACAGGGAGGGCTTTAATGCATACTGTGGCTATCCCAAGGCAAGAATCGGTATTCTTGGTAACAACGAAAACGACTGCAACACCTGTGACTCTTTCATTGGGTTTGGTACCAAAGACTCAACAAAAAGTGGCCCGTGTGGAGATAGGCACATCAAAGTCATGGGTTATATCTTGATTCAGTGACACCCGCGTATTGCTTATTTTGCATTCGTGCGGGACATGTTCATAAGAAAAAGCTGAAAGTACTAGTGTTTGCTTTGTAATCAGACCTTCATTAAATAATCAGAATATGTGGTAACCCGAAACTTATGTACAATGCTGGAACCGCTGATCTGTACTTCCCTGCATTACATAGAGCGCTTTTAAATTAAGCGTCGTTAAACCAAAACCAAACCAATAAGTTACCAATGATAGGCACAATTAGTTAGTATACTTTGGCAGTACTCGCCTAACTTATAATTACTTTGAATTGTTTTGAAAATAAGAGCCGAAGAGAAGGGGTCGGCAAAACTTCTATTAAAATATAATCAATATGAAAATATGATCAACACGTATGACAGTGTATTCCTTTCAAATTTGGTTTACCTCTCTCAAGACCTTTTTATGCAAAAAAGGATGAACAAAAAAATTAAAAAAGAAAATTTATTGCATACTCATAAAGCTATTTCTGCTATGACTCAGCTTGAAGCTTTGAGTTCCAAAGATGATTAATTAAAAATCATTTTAGTTTTAAGTCACGTGGACGGTAAGATATGCGAAGGAAATAATTATGGTTGGAAAATATGGTCCTTGCAGATATGTGAAGATTACAGTGTTAACAAATTACGTACATAGCCAGCATCTCGATCTAGTTTCTTTAAACTTGTCAGCAAAAGTACCTAATTATTACTAAACAGGCTGCTAGCAAAAGTTAATGTCAGTTAGAAGCAAAATGGTTCCCTGGCTGCCAAGGAAAATGGCTTAAATGCATCCCATTGAAAAATTTCTCAGTAAAGGATATTAAGAAAGCTCAGACAAAATCGTTGCATAAGATATTTAGAGCTAATAAGAAACGAGATACGAAAGCGGAGTCGACTTTAAAATCACGCGTATGATTTCAGACCAAATTGCGCTCCACTCATTTGAACTACCATGTTAATTAAACTTTTTGAAATTATGGCTAGAGGTGTTATTTTACAACCCGAGAGGTACCAAACCAAGATCAACACAGTCATTTTCACGCAAGGCGTTCACGTAGAGGAGTTATTCACCAGCAACGACATTGTAACTCATTATTAAATTTAAACCGGTGATGGAATTTTAATCTCTAACAGTGCTCTACTTCTCATTCCCTTTCTCTGTTGCAATCTGTTTCACCCTAAATAAACCGGCCTTCTTCCTTAAACGAGTGAATGCCCCTTTGATGTGTAACCTTTTAAAACACGCTATTTATAAGAATTGATAAAAGAGAAGCAAGAAAAAGTTATTGCTGCAGCCATCAAACGAAAAATTAACGGACTAATCCTATTTTGTTTACCNAACAACCGCAAAACAAAAATCTCCGCGGGAGGAGATACTTACAGTAGACATCAATTGTGTCTTCTCATGTTTGTTAACCCCCTTCTCTAAGATCATGTATCCGCCCCAGGCCCTTGGAGACATTGATTCAAGTAGTCTGCACGCTTATCTCTTTTACACAAACCTGGAACTATCCATGAACACTTCAAGAACATTGCAAGAAATTCTGTTATACTCATAACTGTTAAGATAGATGCACATCTTCTTCCTGCTGTTCCCCTTGGTGACGTTTGAAACTAAATTCGTCTGTTTCACTTTTTTATTACCTAGATATCAATGAATGTGATAACGACACGAACGATTGTCACGTGAACGCAAATTGTACAAACACCCTAGGATCCTTTAACTGTACTTGCAAGGCGGGATATATTGGAGATGGAAACAAATGTTCAGGTGTGATTTAATGCATAACTATCATAACATAACTAAACATCCGGTCCCACCAGAGGACATGTTACGGCGACATGTAACGAAGAGAAAATCTAAGCATGTACTCGAACACAAACGAAAATGCAGCAGGTTCGCGCTGCAGTGACGTATTCGCTGAAAGAGAATCAGCACACATAAGTGTAAGAATCGCCAGAACTTATCTGCTTCACCCTGCGTGTCTGTTCATGTTGTGACTTTATATCTGGTACTGGAGAGCGGGTATCAATAACGAGATGCCCGCCCCTGATGCTGTGTTCGTGGTTATTAAGATTAGTTACAAAATATCTTATAATCGTTTCAGGGTTGATTAAAGTATAAGGGTAAGAATCGCCAGAACTTATCTGCTTCACTCTGCGTGTCTGTTCATGTTGTGACTTTATATCTGGTACTAGTAGTAATATAGTAGTAATCAAAGATTATGAGAGTGCGATTGACGCCGTCACTTTAATATATATACCTTAAATAAATGGTTTCACTATAGCTGACTCTCAACCTCTATTGCTAAAATCAACGTTTTTCATCGAAAACCGAGGTTTTACAGACAGATATATCTTAGTGTCAAAGTCCATGCAAGTTTAAGAGGTCCCTGTAATAACTATGATTTGTTGATTCGTTGAGTGACAGCGCCAGTTTCCGTAGACTCATATTAACAGGTAATGTTTAAGCGTAATGGTTAATTTGAAAAAATATATTTTATATACATTATTCTAAGCTGGAAGCATAAATATAGGCAAACATTTGCAATCGTACGAGTGTGCTCGTTTATCGTCCGCGTAAACAAACTCCGTGCGACTGATTCGAGTATTTCCCCTGATGAATATAGCAGACAGTATTTACATAATTTGCCGTTCCTTAGTTCAGGCAAACTCTTATGGATCTTTTCCCGCCGATTCCAAACAATATTTGACGTATAAAGACTGAGCTACATGTATCTGTCGCGACAGGAACTAATCAACAAATCCAATCAAAATATGGCTGGTTTCCCACAGTTAACATTCCAAAGCCAAGGCGATTCAAAGTCGTGTTCGTTAACATACAAAATAAACGAGGACAATTCCCTCAGATTTCGATAAAGGCTACCATCGAAGCGTTCATATTCATCAATATCCAACGCTGAAAGCACAAAATAGCGAAGCTCATGGCGACTGAATGGAAAGAAGTCAAAGAAAGACCCAGCGCAAAGACGAGCTCGCATGGCCTGCTTACATGCTCACATGTTCGTCACATGTCTTATCATATGTAATCACGTCTTAGTATTAAACAGTACCAGTTTAATGACCGTAACATGCCCTGCAAAAATCAAGCAGGGTGACCATTTTGGTGTCCTTACAGGAATGCGGAGTTTTTCTGCATATAACCGTGCACAGGGTAACCAACTCTGGTTCTTCAAACGCAACAAGTCGCCGTGACATGTTCCAGGGTGTTTGAGCCTAAAACGTATTCTTTAATGAAAAAGTTATTTCTTGGGACCGCGTGTTTTTGCTCATGAAGTTAGCGAGCTCTTTTTCTAGGCTATGTTGGGTCAGTTTCTCTTATTAACATTTGTCTTGAACAGAGGTGAATGCCGTTCTAAATTTGATAAAGGATTCAGATGGTTCAATTTTTAGTCATTCTCTTCCTAAATAATAATTGCACACTAAATAACGATCAGTTGTTGACAGTGTGTACTTTTTGTTCCTCAGCTGTGGCCGGATCCTGCAAGGAGCTACTTGACCTGAACCTGTAAGAACAGGTCCTCATTTTGAAATTTAATCAATGGAAAGCTGTGATCCATGCCTCAGTATGTATACTGGCGGGGTACAGTGAAAAACTCGACGATGTAGTTACATACAACAATTATTGTTATATAGCTGGCGTGTTTCCCGCTACAGCGCGCCCATTCATTGGCTAGTTTATGGTCACATGGCATCTAACAATGAAACTGTTTCCCGCCAAATGCATGAGCGGACAACATTGCGAAAACTATAACGACAAACGGGAAACAGTACACTGTTACCCGCGAAATGTTGACCACTGTTGCACGTTATTTGTCAATGTCTCGGGAAACATCGAGATTCTCGGGAAACAAAATTCACTGTTCCCCTCGGGACCAGTCATTAAGTGTTAATATCAAACTAATTCGCAATTTCCAACTGTTAGATGAAAGCTATTCGAGTTGTTCTCTCGTGTTTTTAGATCTTCGGGTAATAAAGCCTACCCACTAAAGCTGGGATCATCAATTGAACTTGATGTCTACTGTCACATGGCTAATGATCTTGGTGCATGTGGAGGTAGCGGATGGACGCTGGTTATGAAAATTGACGGTAATAAGGTAGAGATGGGATATTTTATTGTTTGTTTTGCAAATTTGGAAAGCCTAGCCTTACAAAATGTGGTTACCATGAAAGCATCAAGTTCCGACGAATTTAACATGTCATACCGAGTTGTTTCCAGGCAAATCAAGTTTTAGTGAGAGCTTGGCATAACAAATATTGAAAAACCTATTAACAGTTACAGTCAGCGCGGGCACTCCGCCTCTTCCACCACACCCATTCCCCCTAGGTCTGAAAAGGGTTCATTAATTCCTTTGCTAATGGGTGATTTGCATGACAGCATCATTTGACTACAGCTACCGGAATCCTTCACTTTTCCTGTTTCTTCTGCTAATTTGGACATTGTTATTTAAACTCCACTGGGGCTTCAAAATTTTAATAATAAAGAAAAAACGAAAGGAATTCGGGTAATTCTGGTAGTTGTAGTCAAATGACCGTAATGTGCAAATCTGCTATTCACGTCAAATTGGGTGTGTGCATCAAATTGAGCACATCATCGCACAAAGTATTAAGCATAGAATACGATTGCAAATTGAATATATAAAATAATTTTAACACTTAGTTTTGCAATTAGCTCCCAGATTTACAAGCATGGAGGAGAACAAATTTCAAATTTTGAAAATGGGTTTACTCCCATAAAAACTTTAAGCAGCTGTTTATATCGTATTGGATATGACAACTGTCTTTGGATTCTGACGTTGCTGAGGCAACGTATTGTCCATTTGCAACTTTACCCACATCTAAACGTTTAAGATTTTCAATGTTCTTAAACCTTTTTTTCAGTATATTTGCTAATATCTAAATCCTTACGCGCTGTAATGCTGTGGAGAACTATGAGCAAACTTGAATGTTCCTGCTTCCCATTTTTCTACATAGGAAACCTTCCACTATGATTCAAGCCTTTGGAGCAACAAAAAGACCCATAATACTGAAGGAGGGAAGACTGGTTTTGACATGCAAGAGGCCAAGCTACCAACCTACTGGAACATGTCGTTCTCCAAGATCTGTCTTGGCATGAAGATCCCTGGACAGGAAACCACCAATTTTATCTCGATTAACAAAAAGGCTGACTCGCTGTACTCACTCATCGCTGACGGGCAGTTCCGCGCCACATCACTGGGCCGCAACAGGTGGAAAGCGCTACTTGGTTCAAAAGATACCTTGCAGCTCCACTGTAACAGGGAGGGCTTTAATGCATACTGTGGCTATCCCAAGGCAAGAATCGGTATTCTTGGTAACAACGAAAACGACTGCAACACCTGTGACTCTTTCATTGGGTTTGGTACCAAAGACTCAACAAAAAGTGGCCCGTGTGGAGATAGGCACATCAAAGTCATGGGTTATATCTTGATTCAGTGACACCCGCGTATTGCTTATTTTGCATTCGTGCGGGACATGTTCATAAGAAAAAGCTGAAAGTACTAGTGTTTGCTTTGTAATCAGACCTTCATTAAATAATCAGAATATGTGGTAACCCGAAACTTATGTACAATGCTGGAACCGCTGATCTGTACTTCCCTGCATTACATAGAGCGCTTTTAAATTAAGCGTCGTTAAACCAAAACCAAACCAATAAGTTACCAATGATAGGCACAATTAGTTAGTATACTTTGGCAGTACTCGCCTAACTTATAATTACTTTGAATTGTTTTGAAAATAAGAGCCGAAGAGAAGGGGTCGGCAAAACTTCTATTAAAATATAATCAATATGAAAATATGATCAACACGTATGACAGTGTATTCCTTTCAAATTTGGTTTACCTCTCTCAAGACCTTTTTATGCAAAAAAGGATGAACAAAAAAATTAAAAAAGAAAATTTATTGCATACTCATAAAGCTATTTCTGCTATGACTCAGCTTGAAGCTTTGAGTTCCAAAGATGATTAATTAAAAATCATTTTAGTTTTAAGTCACGTGGACGGTAAGATATGCGAAGGAAATAATTATGGTTGGAAAATATGGTCCTTGCAGATATGTGAAGATTACAGTGTTAACAAATTACGTACATAGCCAGCATCTCGATCTAGTTTCTTTAAACTTGTCAGCAAAAGTACCTAATTATTACTAAACAGGCTGCTAGCAAAAGTTAATGTCAGTTAGAAGCAAAATGGTTCCCTGGCTGCCAAGGAAAATGGCTTAAATGCATCCCATTGAAAAATTTCTCAGTAAAGGATATTAAGAAAGCTCAGACAAAATCGTTGCATAAGATATTTAGAGCTAATAAGAAACGAGATACGAAAGCGGAGTCGACTTTAAAATCACGCGTATGATTTCAGACCAAATTGCGCTCCACTCATTTGAACTACCATGTTAATTAAACTTTTTGAAATTATGGCTAGAGGTGTTATTTTACAACCCGAGAGGTACCAAACCAAGATCAACACAGTCATTTTCACGCAAGGCGTTCACGTAGAGGAGTTATTCACCAGCAACGACATTGTAACTCATTATTAAATTTAAACCGGTGATGGAATTTTAATCTCTAACAGTGCTCTACTTCTCATTCCCTTTCTCTGTTGCAATCTGTTTCACCCTAAATAAACCGGCCTTCTTCCTTAAACGAGTGAATGCCCCTTTGATGTGTAACCTTTTAAAACACGCTATTTATAAGAATTGATAAAAGAGAAGCAAGAAAAAGTTATTGCTGCAGCCATCAAACGAAAAATTAACGGACTAATCCTATTTTGTTTACCAAAAGTTGAATGCGAGTTCGAATGCTTAAAGAACGACAACATTTCCGTCGACGTCTTTGTCTATCTCGTCCTGTTGCACGGGGTCATCACTATGGGTCTCATCGGATCTGCTGGCTGCAGCATGGTCTTCTTTTCCCTCCTCATGATCAGGGACAGGCTGTGAACCAAGAACGACGACATCGTCAGCTGAGTCACTCTCGACTTCTTTCCTTTCAAGTTCTTTGGACGTCGTTGGTTTTTCTTCATCAATGTTTCTAACACTTCCTAAATTAACAGGTGGGCGACTGGCGATGACATGCAGATCTGCACTTGTCGACGGACGTTGCTCTTCGATTTCCTTGTCAGGTACATTTTGGAATGTACGAGTAGGTTTGTCACTTTCCAATTCAG